TAGAGACGGGGTTTCACCATGTTGACCAGGATGGTCTCGATCTCTTGACCTCGTGATCCACCCGCCTCGGCCTCCCAAAGTGCTGGGATTACAGGCGTGAGCCACCGCGCCCGGCCTTACATTTTCTTTTAAAAATGTTTCTTTATATTGTATAATACTTGAATGGCAATAAATTGACTTTCACTATGACATTCTACTTCTACATCTCAATTTCTTGAGCTCTAAAATGATGAATTTGGATTATTTCCAGTTCTAAAAATCCAACCTCTTTTACAACTAAAAACAAACCCTAAATATTCTTTTTCAGTAAAATGAATATCAGTCATGTTATAGTTAACTTTATAAAGAATGTGGTTTCTGGAATTGGACTGCTGAGGTTTTAGTTTCTATTTTGCCATTTATTAATTGTGAAATATTAGGTAAGGTACTCAGCCTAACAAAATTTCAATATCAATTATCCAGGCATAGTGATGCACACTTGTAACCCCAGCTACTTAGGAGGCTGAGGTAGGAGGAATGCTTGAACCCAGGAGTTCCAGTGGGAGGACCTGTGGTTGTGCCACTGCACTCCAACCTGGGCAACAGTAACGACACTCTGTCTCAAAAAAATCAAAAAAAATTTTTTTAATGAAAAAAATAAAAAACAAAATTTCAGATTCCCCATTAGTAAGTGGTATAAATTATAGTACATATCTTATGCAGTTATTATGATTAAACAGAAAAAAAGTATGTGTGGTAGAAACTGGCTGTTTACCAAATCATTTCTTTTTCTTTCCGGGCAAACAGCTAAACCACATTTTGCATCTTTACTTGCAGTTAGTTGTGGCCACATGGCTGAGACCCGGTCAGTAGAATGTGAGAGGAGGAGATGCGTGATACTTCCAGGCTTAGCTCCCCAAAATCTCCCCTTGTGAGTCTCCTTGTTCTTTCCCCTTCTTCAAAAACCCTGGAAATGGCTTGTTAAAGATGGTGGAAGCACAAAATGGAAGGAGCATTGGTGCCTGAATCACAACTTATAGGAGAGCTGTATGCCCATCAGGAACACAATTAATATCACTAGTCGTAATATGACAAATGAAAAGTCTAAAAAACTTTGAACTTTAGACACAAGCAATAAAATGGTGATCCTGTCTGCAGTATACACGATTTGGCAACACGTATACTTTTTTTTTTATAGGCAGAATCTCGTTCTGCCATGCAGGCTGGAGTACAGTGGTGCAATCATAGCTCACTGTAACCTTAAACTCCTGGACTCATGCAATCCTCCCATACCAGCCTCCTGAGTAGCTGGGGCTACAGGCATGCACAGCTATGTCTGGCTAATTTTTTTATTTTTTATTTTTTGTAGAGTTGGAGTCTCGCTAGGGTGACCAGGCTAGTCTCAAACTCCAGGCCTCAGGCAATCCTCCTGCCTCGGCCTCCCAAAGTGCTGGGACTACAGGCGTCAGCGACTGCACCTGGCCTTTTTTTTTAAGCTAGAGAAAGTCTAGGAAATAAAATTGTGTGTTCAAACAGTAAAAATCTAAGCTATTTATATGTGTAACTTGGAGAAAGTATACTGTATTTACATTTATTACGTTTTTAAAAATTTTCAGAAAATATATAAGAAGGCAGATCAAATTTAAAAATTCAAATTGGTATCATCTTTGGGGGAAAAAAAGCTGGATAAAACTTTGAAATAAAAGAAACAATACAAAGCCCTTAGTAAAGAAACACTATTATAACTATCATAAGCCCTTTTGTGTTAATAATAAAATAAATAGCAACTAACTATGAGAGCTTAGTATGTGCTAGGCATTAAATGAGATAATCCATTTAAAACACCCTCATTACAACTCAAGAGAGATATTATTCCCATTCTATAGACACACACACACACAAAAACTAAAATACAAACTGAGAGATTCTGATTTCAACCCTGAGTCCATGCTCTGGGTTTCCCTCTGTTGCCCAGGCTGCAGTGCAGTGGCGTGATCTTGGTTGGTTGCAAACCCTGCCTCTCAGGTTCAAGCAATTCTCCTGCCTCAGACCAGCGGCGCTATATCCAGCTAAGTTTTTGTATATTTAGTAGAGACAGGGTTTCACCATGTTGGCCAGGCTGGTCTTGAACTCCTGATGTCAGGTGATCTGTCCACCTTGGCCTCTCAAAGTGCTGGACTTATAGGTGTGAACCACCGGGCCCAGCCGAGTCCTTGCTCTTAATCAAAGGAGTCCCCACAAAAATTTGAAAGTTTCTCAATTTGTAAAAGAAGGCCCTTTATATGTAAAATCCTACACATGAGATTTACTCTAGTTCCTAAAACACACAAAAAGTTATACTTTTTTTCCTTTTCATTATCATATGTTATGTATGTATGCTATGACTTACCAGTCTATCAAGTATATATCTGGTGTAAGACTGTAAGATTTGAAGTGAAGAAATAATTTGGAGAGATTTTCTTCAAAGAATACTTCAAATGTAGCAAAATATTTCAACATCTAAAGATTAAAAAATCAATAAAATTATGAAAGTATATAGTCTAGAAATAGAGAAATTAAATGCTTAAACATTAACAGGAAATCTTGCTCATTAAGAATCTCATCTCTTTCTGGGTCTTCTCAGCAAGCATTCATTCATAAACTATAATATGGTAAGTTTATATTAGATCAGATTATCTTGCTCTTTTAATTATTGTTTTTCATTCTAAGAGGGTATTCAAACTACAGAAACAAAGGAAAACACGATCTATTCATACCATGCTGTGATCCACACGAAAGAAGGCCAACTGGCATGGCTTATTCAGGAGATTTGCAAATGCAATAAAGGCATCTGCCTCTTCCAAATTGAGAATGAGTACTGCTGCAATGAAGGACATCCCTTGGACCTTCAAAGAAAGAAGAAATTAGTTAAAATTGACTTACAATAATAAATCTATACAGTTTATTTTATTGTACTCCTGAAAAATTACAAAGTGACATTTCAAAGTAGAATTAACCAAGATTTCTTTTTTCCTTCCCAGCAAAGGTAAATACAGAGAACCCCTAATAATTATGAAATCTCCCTAGTTTTATCTCTCTAATTTCTTGTTCACATGGTGTGGTTTTAAAAATTAGGGAGAATTTTTGAAAAAAAGAAAAAAGTATCAGCCTTTACTGCTACAAAAGGCTATCTCAGTGTGTTACCTAGTTTTCATTTCCCCTAAATCTGAATTATTTCAAAATAGAGTACAGAATCACAAAATTTAATAAATATCAGGTAATTATTTTCATTGTTATAACACATCTATCTGAGTAAAAAATGAAGAACCAAGAATAAAAGAGATGTATGAAAAGCACTGCTGAATACCAAGAAAGGAGATGTTGTAGGGTTGAGATAATGAGCCTGGAGTCCTGGAAAAGCAAGAGACAGAAATAGGAGAAAACCTAAAATGGAAAAGATGCATGAGCCAAGACACAAAAATGGGAACAATAGGATCAGCTCAGTTGGATAAGGAAAGTCATTTAGAAAAGGTAGGACGTATTTATATTGTGAAAGACTTTGAGTAAAAAGCTAAGCTGTACAGATGTTTGCTTGCGAGTCATTGGCAGCTATCCTATACTTCTTTTTTTTTTTTTTTTTTTTTGAAGCAGGGTCTTAACTTAGTTGCCTAGGCTTCAGTGCAGTGACATGGTATCATCTCATTGCATCCTTTGCCTCCCGGTTCAAGCTATCCTCCAGCCTCAGCCTCCGGAGTAGCTAAGACTATGGGTATGTACTACCATGCCCGCCCAGCCCATACATTTCTTTAATTAAAAAAAAAAAAAAAAAAGTTGGGGCCGGGCGCAGTGGCTCACGCCTGTAGTCCCAGCACTTTGGAGGCAGAGGTGGGTGGATTGCCTGAGCTCAGGAGTTTCAGACCAGCCTGGGCAACACAGTGAAACCCCGTTTCTACTAAAATACAAAAAATTAGCTGGGTGTGGTGGCGTGTGCCTGTAGTCCCAGCTACTTGGGAAGCTGAGGCAGGAGAATTGCAAGAACCTGGGAGGCAGAGGTTGCAGTGAGCCAAGATTGTGCCACTGCACTCCGGCCTGGGAAACGGAGCGAGACTCCATCTCAAAAAAAAAGTTATCAAACACTTACTTCTGGAAGAGATTTGTAAAACAGACTTAACACAGTGAGACCACTAAGAATAACTGCAGTAATAACTGTCTCTTGTTCCCAGCCAAGTGTTTTGAAAGGAATGCCTACAATCACTATCTCTGCTTTCTCAGCTCCCTTTTCACTCTTTAGCACACTTCAGTATATATTCCCACTCCATTACTATACTATTTTGAGATTTCTCTTGCCAGCATGACCAACGATACTGATTGTAAAACCCAGTGGGCACTATCTCTCTTAAAAGCATTCCCTTAGCTTCTGCAATCCAATTATTTCTTTGTTTACATCTTATTTTTCTGTCTTCTTCTGAGTGCTTTTTGCTGATTCTACAATAATTGTCTATTTGATTTTCTAGAACTGAAGTTCCATGAAGACAGAGACTGCATTAGTCATGATAATTGCCCTCCAAAGATGTCCAAATCATTATTTATTACCAGAAGTTGTGAAAATGTTGCTGTACATGACAAAAGGGACTTTGCAGATGTAATTAAGTCAAGGATCTTGAGATGGGGTGCTTATCCTGAATTACCTGGGTGAGTCCGATGTAATCATCATTAAGGTTCCTCATAAGTGAAAAAAGAAGGCAGGTTAGTCAGAGAGAGATTTGAAGATGATATACTGCTGGCTTTGAAGATGGAGCTATAGGCCTAGGAATGTAGGCAGCCTCTAGAAGGTAGAAAAAGCAAGGATATGGATTTTCCCCTAGAGCTTCCAGAAGAAGCACAACCCTGCCAATACTTTGACTTAAACCCAGTGAAGTCTATTTCAGACTTCTGACCTCCAGAACTGTCAAACAGTAACTTTGTGTTGTTGTGCGTGTTTAAATTATTTCTGTAGAGACAGTCTTCCTATGTTGCCCAGGCTGGTCTCCTGACCTCAAGTAATCTTCCCACCTCAGCCTCCCAAAGTGCTGAGATTACAGGCATGAGCCACTGCACCTGGCCTAATTGGTGTTGTTTAAAGCCACTAATTTCGTGGTAATTTGTTACAGTATTCATAGGAAGCTAGTACAGAGACCACACCATGTTTGTTTGTTCATAGTTATATTCTTAGTACCATGATATTTGCTGAATGAATACAAGGGGCAAAATATTAGCCATCAATAATAGAATGGTAGCAAAGTAAATAGAAGGAATTAAAACTACATTTTAATTCAGCATACATTATTCATTAACATAGTTAAAAACCTATTTTGTCAAATCATGACATGAAATAGGTATTCCAATATAGTCTATACTATGTTTTTTCTTTTTCTTTTTCTTTTTTTTTTTTTTTGCCGAATCTTAACCACGAGACGACCAGGGATAGTCTATACTATTTTCAACTTATGAAGTAAGTGTGATTTGACCGACTGGTTTGTCAGTGAGCCTTGATACTACCAGTTATATGATGGTCATTTTATATAAATTCAATGAACTAATAGAGTTCATTTCAGCAGCAAATATACAATGACCCAATACGTCTACAGTCAGAGTAAAAAAAAAAAAAAAAGTTTAAAACATATTCTAAAAAAATCATTATCATAAATGTAATAACAGTAACAGTATTTTAATTTCCCCCATTTTTCTTCAGTATACCAGGTTAAACAAGTGCCTTTCAGTGAGGAGTGAGTGAGTTTGTTTGTTTGTTTTGAGACAGAGTCTCACTCAGGCTGGAGTGCAGTGGCATGATCTCAGCTCACTGCAACCTCTGCCTCCCAGGTTCAAGCAATTCTCATGTCTGAGCCTCCAGAGAAGCTAGGATTACAGGCACACACCTTCATGCCCAGCTAATTTTTATATTTTTAGTAGAGACAGGATTTCGCATGTTGGCCAGGCTGGTCTCGAACTCCTGGCCTCAAGTTATCCGCCTGCCTCGGCCTCCCAAAGTGCTAGGTGGTGCATGCCTGTAGTCCCAGCCTGACTACAGCAGTAGCTGGGACTACAGGTGTGTGCCACCAGGCTCAGCTAGTTTTCATATTTTTAGTAGACCATGTTGGCCAGGATGGTTTCGATCTCTTGACCTCATGATCCACACACATTGGCTTCCCAAAGTGCTGGGATTTATAGGCGTGAGTCACTGCGCTCGGCCAATATATTTTTCTTTAAATGGACTATGATATATGTAAATTCATTACAGTATTTAAATTCCACTACAGACTTTTGCTTTGTTTTTTTTGAGACGGGGTCTTGCTGTGTTGAGCAGGCTGGAATGCAGTGGCCCAATCCTACCTCACTGCACCCTAGAAGTCCTGGGCTCAAGTGATCCTCCTGCCTCAACCTCCCAAAATGCTGAGATTACAGGTGTGAGCCAACATGCCCAGCCTAGAGACATTTTTAAAGAACTATAAGATATCAACATTTAAGCAATGCTAAAAAATTATTTACAAGTAAACTTATGATGAAAATTTTTAAAATTCAACTTAAACATGTGAAGGGGATACAAGGTGTTATAATTCATTCACAGAATACCTGAGTAGCAGAATTGAAAGACTGCTCAAATCTAGCTTTCTCCTTAAGGACTATGTGACAATCTTTTCAAATACTACAACCTGCCCCTCCTCAAACCTGGCATTTTCCCCCTGTATCATCCCATACTTTTCCACAGCACTCATCCTTTTTTTTTTTTTTTTTTTGAGACAGAGTCTGGCTCTGTTGCCCAGGCTGGAGTGCAGTGGCTTGATCTCAGCTCACCACAACTTCCACCTCCCAGGTTCAAGCGATTTTCCTGCCTTAGCCTCCTGAGTAGCTGGGACTACAGGTGCGTGCCACCACGCCCGGCTAATTTTTTTTTGTTTTTTTAGTAGAGACAGGGTTTCACTGTGTTAGCCAGGATGGTCTCGATCTCCTGACCTCGTGATCCACCCGTCTCAGCCTCCCAAAGTGCTGAGATTACAGGCATGAGCCACTGCGCCTGGCCAGCACATATCTTTTAATATAACATGATTTACCTATTCATTTGTTGTTTATTGTCTGTTTCTTTCTTCTAAACTGTAAAGGGAGAAATCATTTTGTTCATTGAGGTATCTCAAGTGCCTAGAACAATGCCTGACATATAATCATAAGCACACAGTAAATATTTGTTGAGTAAACAAACATAGAAATGAACATGCAACAGAACAAAGCAACTTGTACCAGACAGCCACCCTATAGAGAGGTCTAAAATTATATTTTAAGGCAAAGGTGAGAAGATGAAAGTTCTATAACTTCTAGTTAAAAATGGTAATTGAACATCACATCTTTCTTCGTTTCCTTGCAAAATCTAACTGATAATACAGTACAGAAAAATAAGTATTAACCCATGAGGACTACATGAATGAAAAGTTATATAAATAGTAGATAAGTTAATAGCATTTTAGAAGTTGTAAATTAAATAAGTATAGAAGGTTAAAACTAAAATATCTATTAAGGAGGAAGCCGATAATCAGGAACTCTGAAAGCTCAGAAGCTGAAGTTGTCAGTTATCTATGAAATTGAGTATATAAGGAGCAAATCCCCTCCCCTATCCTTTAGGGACAGATGCCTATTCTTCCTTAACCTGGTAGAACATAGGAGGTTTATTCTCTAGAGGCACAGTCAGGAAAAGAGGGTTAGGAAGAGGTTTGGATAAGGCACCACCCTGACATCAGGGCATGAAATAAGTTTATAAATTGCAGGGTGCAATCTCCGGCAGCTCCCCCAGAAAGCTGGCAGCCTCAAGTACATATGAGCTCCTGACAAGAGATGGAAAAATTCTTCACTGGGTAAATTGATAAGCCCAAGTAAAGCAGACATAGAGATACAGACATTTGGGAGCTAATACAACATAGGATATTTTGATAAGAGTGTAGATAAAATGCTTATATTCAAAAAACAGGTTGAAACAAATACTTACATAACCAACATCAGGTCTGTAGCATGTATATGCCCCTAAAATACTATGTAAGACATCATGATATGGGCCACCCTTAGGAGAGAAAAGTGAAATTTAAAACTATACAAATAATTGTCTCTAAGTTAATTTTCATATAACGTGTTAGTTAATAAATTGTAGCATATCCTAAATGATAAAAAATATTATAAATGTACTCTGCCAAGACATTTTCCAAATTATTATTAAGAAACATTTAATACTGTGGATGAGTGCAGTGGCTCATGACTGTAATCCCAGAACTTTGGGAGGTCGAGATGGGTGAATCACTTGAGGCCAGGAGTTTAAGACCAGCTTGGCTAACATGGTGAAACCCCATCTCTACTATAAATACAAAAATTAGCTGGGCATAGTGGCACACGCCTGTAATCCCAGCAACTCAGGTGACTGAGGCACAAGAATCACTTGAACTCAGGAGGTGGTGGTTGCAGTGAGCCAGGATTCTGCCACTGCACTCCAGCCTGGGCAACAGAGTGAGAAAGAATGAAAGAAGCAGGTTTTTTTGTTCTGGAAATGTTACCTTTCATAAAAATGATTATTTGTTACTGTACAACAGGCTTTTTTTTTTTTTTTTTTTTTNAAAAAAAAAAAAAAAAAAAAAAAAAAAAAAAAAAAAAAAAAGAAATATTTAATACTAAATAGCAAAGAAAAGCCAAATAAACTTACTTGATGGATCCAAGCTACATAATTTGCAAACTGTTTTAAAGTCTTCTAGATTTGGTATAATAAGACTATGATGAATACAGACTCTTTCATTTTATTTTATTTTTATTTATGTATTGAAACAGAGTCTTACTCTGTCACCCAGGCTGGAGTGCAGTGGTGTGATCTCAGTTCACTGCAATGTCTGTCCCCCAGGTTCAAGCGATTCTCCTGCCTTAGCCTCCCAAGTAGCTGGGATTACAGGCATGTGCTACTGCGTCCAGCTAATTTTTGTATTTTTAGTAGAGACAGGGTTTCACCATCTTGGCCAGGCTGGTCTCAAGCTCCTGACCTCGTGATCCACCTGCCTCAGCCTCCCAAAGTGCTGGGATTGCAGGCATAAGCCACCATGCCCGGCCAGGCTGTTTCATTTTATATAATACAGTATCCACAGGAAAAAAAACATAAAGCTACACTAAACTGTGTTTATAATTTTAATCTTAATGGTAAAATTTTTACTTATTTTATTTTTATCAATCTAAAGATAGAAGAATTCCATGTATAAAGACTTGAATCAGCTGGGTGTGGTGGCACATGCCTGTAATCCCACAATCCCATCTATTCAGGAGGCTGATACAGGAGGATTGCTTGAGCCTAGGAGTTCGAATACAGCCTGGGCAACACAGCAAAACCTGATCTCAAATTTAAAAATAAATAAATAAAAATAAAGACTTGAGTCAAAGATAAAGTATATATAATGTAGTCATTTCTCTTTTCATGAGGTATCAGCAACTTCATAATAGCCTATGTACAAAGAAAACCATTTCTTCCTATTTCAATGATAATTCTGAAAAATTTAAGTTTTGTGATAAAGTTCTTTATACTTTAACAACTTACTGGGCCAAAACATTAAGAATTCATACATCTTACAAAGTAAAAAGTAAAATAAATTCAGTGTAATAAAATTCATCAAGTACCTACTATATTAAATGTATTAAATTCTATGCCAACTACAATGTATTTCAGTCAGTGGAATAAAATAATAGAAATTCCTTTATAATTTTATAACTAGTTTTAGACTTTCTATATATGGTCCCCAATTTCTATAGTTTTGCCTTTTTAAAAGTAATAGTGAGGCCGGGCGCGGTGGCTCATGCCTGCACCAGCACTTTGGGAGGCCAAGGCAGGCGAATCACGAGGTCAGGAGATTGAGACCATCCTGGCCAACATGGTGAGACCCCGTCTCTACTAAAATACAAAATAATTAGCCGGGTGTGGTGACTCACGCCTGCAGTCCTAGCTGCTCAGGAGGCTGAGGCAGGAGAATCGTTTGACCCTGGGTGGCAAAGGATGCCATGAGCTGAGATCGTGCCACTGCACTACAGCCTGGGCAACAGAGCAAGACTCTGTCTCCAAAAAAAAAAAGTAATGACTATTCATTTAAAGAATCTGTTCCCTTGGATATTGATAGTTTTTTGTTTTTAGTAATTATAAGCTAGTTAGAAACCCTTACCTTCTGAAAGATGTAGAGAGATGGAAATGTACGGGATATGTCCAACTTAATTAATTCCAGACTGGCCTCTCGATCAGCAACAGACACACCTGCATTTACCAAGCAGATACAATTTAAATGATCACTTGGCTATAACAAGTTCAATTTTATAAATACAGAATGATCACACAGCATATGTGTTATTTAATTAAAGTTAAAAGCTGAATAATCAAGAAATTACAAGAAATGTCATACAGCTTTTGTTAGAACTTGTTAGTCTCTTGTACAAAGAATATATCTATACATTTATCAGAAAGTTATATGGTAAAGGATATCTAATTCCAGTTTTTGGTTTTTTTTTTTTTAAATAAAGATGGGGTTTCACCATGTTGGTCAGGCTGGTCTTGAACTCCCGACCTCAGGTGATCCGCACACCTTGGCCTCCAAAGTGCTTGGATTACAGGCGTGAGCCACCTCGCCCAGCCTCTAATTCCAGTTTTTACAAAAGATAGGGGCAAACAATCATTTCCATGGTAACAACTAGGGAAAAAAATTACAAATATCACATTTAAAAAATCATCAGAGAGCTATAGATACAGAGAGATCAACAGGACTTAAATTCCAGAAAAGTAAGAGTCTTTCCTTGGTGAGTAGACAACAGCGGCCATTTTTCTTTGTAGGAATAGCTGCTAGGTCTGGGTATGGACTTAGGATTGAGCTTGCCATGGACAAAGTCACTCTTATTGGAGGAAGAGGAAGCAGAAGAGCTTCATGTGGCCTAATAAAACTGATGTGACAGGCAGGAATCTGGAAGAGCCCTTAATGTTTATCTGGTTTTCCCTATGGGACTTTTCTGAATGTAGAAGGCCAGGCTACAAATGCAGAATAAAATTACCCAAAGTCACAAGGTCTTGGGAGAGCATATCATTGGAGGGAGATACCTGTAATCAAACTAGGACACTTTTTCCCATCAAGAAATTTGAAACTCAAGATAAACTACATCTATATAAAGTTGCAACCCTGCCCCAACCTAGACCAATTAATTGTTAATTCAGGTGATAATCCCCTAATCAAACTGCCTAACAGGAAAGAGCATGCTTCCTCTGCAGGGGAAACCTCAGCTTTGGTTTCTACATTCTATTTATATACAATGTCTGGCATACAATTTAAACATTTTAGACATACAAAGAAGCAGAAAACGTGACATATAACCACTTTAAAGGGGACAAAAGGGGAAACACAACCAATAGAGGCAGACCTGCAGATGATGCAGTATTAGAATTAACAGACAACAACACTTTCTGTTATAAATATGTTAAAATATCTGGCTGATATGAGCTAGAGAACAAAAAACAATAATAAAATTTAAAAAGAAAATAGAAGAAAAGATGGGGGAAAGAACATGGGATGGAAGATGAAGAATTTCAACAGAGAAATAGAATGCATAAAAAGAATCAAGTGGGGAGGGCATGGTGGCTCAGGCCTGTAATCCCAGCACTGTGGGAGGCCAAGACGGGCAGATCATGAGGTCAGGAGTTCAAGATCAGCCTGGCTAACATGGTGAAACCCTGTCTCTACTAAAAATACAATAATTAGTGGGTGTGGTGGCACGTGCCTATAATCCCAGCTACTCAGGAGGCTGAGGCAGGAGAATCACTTGAACCTAGGAGGCAGAGGTTGCAGTGAGCTGAGATCGTGCCATTGTACTCCAGCCTGGGCAACAGAGCAAGATTCCATCTCAAAAAAAAAGGAACCAAGTGAACATTCTACAGTCACAAAGCATATCTGAAATTAAAAGCCCGTTACACTGATATAGATTTAATAGTAGACTAGACAACGCAGAAGAAAAGATTGGTGAATTTGATTATGGATCAATAAAAATCAATGAAACTGAAGCAGAGAGAGAGAGAGAGAGAGAGAAATAGTTGGCCAGGCACAATGGTTCACATCTGTAATTCCAGCACTTTGGAAGGCCAAGGCAAGAGGATTGCTCGAGGCCAGGAATTTGAGACCAGCCTGTGAAACATAGACCCCATCCCTACATAATAAACATTTTTTCAATTACATAAAATCATACCTACTCTCCATTTAAAAAGACAGTGACCAAAAAGTTAAATGACACATGCAAATTATAAATATCCAGAAAATAAGAAAATAGTAATTTATGTAGAACACTGCTTCTGACTGGAACTCTTCATTACATTCAATTAATTTCTACTGAAGTGCAACTTTCACCATTTATTTATTTATTTTTTTGGGAGATGAAGTCTGTCATCCAGGCTGGAGTGCCATGGTGTGATCTAAGCTCACTGCAACCTCCACCTCCCAAGTTCAAGCGATTCTCCTGCTTCAGCCTCCTGAGTAGCTGGGATTACAGGCACCTGCCACCATACCCAGCTAATTTTTGTTTTTTCAGTAGAGACGGGATTTTGCTATGTTGGCCAGGGTGGTTTTGAACTCCTAACCTCAGGTGATCCACCCGCCTTGCTCTCCCAAAGTGCTGGAATTATAGGTGTGAGCCACCGCAGCCAGCCATACCATTTGTTCTTGAAAAAATATTTCAGAAGTGAATACTAATAATTTTAATTCTTATAAGTTCAATGCTTCAAAAAAAATGAGTTTTCAAAGAATAATGAAATAGCTCCTGTCTGCCAATATAAACCTTCTTCACCTTTTACGTACTTTTAGTTCTCCACAAATAGCTGACATAGCTGAGAGGTCTTAGGATGATACTTACATGAACTCTTCTGTAAATCAACTATTTTCTCTAGCCTTGTTTACTGAAAGGGTTATTAAGATTAAATAAGATGATATATGTAAAGCAATTACTACAGTTTCTGATACATGGTACAAAATCATGCTCAGTAGCTGAATTTTCATCCTGAAATTCTTATTTTAAAGAAAATCACACCTTCTGTATCATTCTCTGAACTTGTTTCACTGAAACTTTTCCACCGTTCTTTTGCTCTTGAGAGGAAGATTTCATAAAGTTCTGGGGGGGGAAAGAACAAATAGGAAAGAAATATATTTGCAAATTTTAATTTGTTATTCTTTACCTACTACAGGTCAGGTCTCCCTGATGTAGCAAGCATCAAAAAAGTGGCAAATCTAAGTACTTGATTCTACCCAAACTATTCATTATATACCCCGAAAGAAAGCAAATAAAATTACTGCAAAACAATCATCCAAGTAGTTACAATATATAATGTACATATGAGGCAGAAAGAGATGCTTCTGCTAAGAAGTATCATTGCAGAACAGCAGAAAAAACATAATTTTTGGAGTCAGTCAGACCTAGATTCAAATTCTAGCTCTGTCATTTACTAACTGAGGGACTTCAAGAAAGTTGCTTAGCTACCCTGGAACTCAGCTTTCTTCATCTGTACATCAGAGAAAAGCAACACCTACTCATAGGGCTACTGATGATTAAACAAAATAATATATGCAAAGCTCTTGGCACCTTATAGCACTTAAAACAGATGCTAGATCTTGCTTTCATTGTTCCTGAAACTGGTTTCTCCATTATGATATTGCTATTTAAAGCTACTTATATTTCACACAGGCTTGGTCTAAGGGTCTAAATACAAAAATCTCTACCCCTATCTTTTTAATTTAAGTGTCCAGTCAGTCACTGTACTTCCATATGCAGGATCTTGTAAAAACTTAAGAACAGGAAAGATTTAAAAAGTTTTCTCAGTTCCCAAATTTTATTTGTCTTTTATTTTGTAACTAACCATTGCTGATATTTGAAACTACATAAAAACAGGACATTTGAGGGATAGAAGAACAGAAAAAAAATACGTCTTGCCCAAACACCAAAGTTGATATATTGTCCAAAGTAACTTTTCTGCTTCAATTAATTCTTTCTGAGGTTTTATTCATCTTTAAAGGTAATACATGGTTTTTAAAAATTTTCAAAAGTACAAAATAGTATATAGAGAAAAGTAAATTTCCTTTCCTTGGATCCAAGTGTGGTTATCAGAGCTCTCACTAATTCTTCCAAGAATGAAAATATGCATGCACAAGTATACACACACACACACACACATATATATAATCGTTTTAAAAAAATAAAGTGGCAACATATTTCATGCACTGATCTGTATCTTACTTTGTTATATTAGAGGTTGTTCCACATTAGTAGATATAGATCTGCTTTCGCCTGCTTTTGCTTCTTTTAAACAACCAACTCCATATTTTTCCAAAGTAATGACTATACCATAACAAGTATTCTTATATTGCCAAGAAGCATATCATTATCAAATACCTGACTAGATATATTTCAAACAGACTCTTACTATTCTAATCTCTTCTCCTTTTCTATTTACTTTTCATTACTACTAATGGTTTGGAAAGAAGAAATTAAAAAAAAAAAAAAGAAAGAAAGAAAGAAACTTAAAATTCCTGTTATTATTATTTCTTTTTTTGAGACAGGGTCTCGCTCTGTTGCCCAGGCCGGAGTGCAGTGGTGTGACCTCAGCTTACTGCAACACCCCCTCCCTGGTTCAAGCAATTCTCATGTCTCAGCCCCCTGAGTAGCTGGGATTACCCAAATGTGCCACCATGCCTAGCTAATCTTTTGTATTTTCAGTAGAGTAAGGGTTTCGCCATGTTGGGCAGGCTGGTCTTGAACTCTTGGCCTTATGTGATCCACCCACGTTGGCCTCCCAAAGTGCTAGAATTACAGGAGTGAGCCACCACAATAATAGGCAAAATTCCTATTATTTATGCCTGGCTCCATCAATGATTTGGTAGAAGAGATGAATATTACGTTAAAATTTATATATAAATTTATTTGGGGGTTATTAGGTATAAAATTGTAAGTTTTTAAAAAAATTTCAAACTGGTTCTAAGACAGTCAGCTTAATTATTCTACCCAAATTTTAAAGCTGTCTAAAAAAAAGGCTCACCAGAAAAACCCATCCATTTTAGAAGTCATAAAATTGATCCAATAATAAAAATGTGGTAATACATTTCAAAACATCAAAGGACATCTTTCCAGTAAGATTTACAGTGCTTAAGAAGACCTGCATCTCAGTTCAATTTGATGCTTGGGTCCTCATGTCACACTTACTTTGTTTTGAATCTGCCAAGAGAGAGTTTGAAGCAGGCTTAAAGATAGCACTTCAGACTTGAACAGAGAATACTTTGATTTCAGGGTATATTTTGCTTTCTGATTTTGTGACAATTATGATATTATACATAATCTCAGCAAAATTCACTTTCACTATCATTTTATATCACCACAAATAACTGTTAGAACAATCCTTTCACATCCTTACCTCTATTTTACAGATGAAGAAAACTAAGACTTCTAGATGTTAAGTAATATGCCCAAGGTCACAAACCCAATATATATGGTGGAACCAAGATTTGAACCATATTTGACTGACATTAGAGAATAACTCTTAGCTGTTATTCTCTAGCGATTATAAATTTTTATGACTAAAACAAATAAATCAAATTACTAGAGCCATTCAAGAGTAAACAAGATTAACAAAAATAGATTTACTTCAATCAAAATTTACCATCTTTTCCACACTAATGAAAAAGAAAAGAATAAAGACACATTCCATTCCTGAATATACAAATGTTTAGAGAAGAAAATCTAAAATTACGTTGAAAATACATGACTTAGTTGTTACAAAACTATAAATTTCAAGCTAAAAAAGAACCATTTGATTAAAGTATCACAAAACATTAACACCAATTTAACCAATGTTTTAATGTCTAAGTTATCAAGATAACTCAGATTCTAAAGCCAAAGTTACCAATAAAAATTGCAAACAAGACTTCACATAATCATCAATACCTCATTATCTGTTTGCAAAATTGATTCTTAAGACTTTAAACAGTTACAATATATTCAAAAGTTCTTAATATTATGGATTTAGAAAATCTAACTGAACGTTCTAACTATAATTTTAAAACATTTAATCTGTTCCAAATTCAGAAAGCAAAAGTAACCTTTGTTTGTATTTGGAGAGAACAGTTAAGTCTTACAAAATCTAACTTTTTCTAAGTTAAATAAAAACTTAATTCTTCCTTTAAATTATATTCTGAAAGTTTTTAAATTCTTTTAAAATAACAGGTTGGCTGGGCACGGTGGCTCACACCTGTAATCTCAACACTTTGGGAGGCCAAGGTGAGCAGATCACCTGAGGTCAAGAGGTGGAGACCAGCCTGGCCAGCATGGCAAACCCCTGTCTCTACTAAAAATACAAAAATTATCTGGGTGTGGTGGCAGGTGCCTGTAATCTCAGCTTCTTGAGAGGCTGAGGCAGGGAGAACTGTTTGAATCTGGGAGGCGGGGTTGCAGTGAGTGGAGAGAGTGCCACTGCACTCCAGCCTCAGTGACAGAGCACGACTCCATCTCAAAATAAATAAATAAAAATAAATAAATAACATGTTTATTACAGAAGACTTGTGAAAATCAAATTTTAAAATCATACAGAATCAAAATATCCAAAGTTGGCATCGCTTTTCAGACAAAGGATAAACATTTAGATTTTTATAACTTATAATTCTGTCCAATTACATAAATGCTGATTGCTGTAATGAACATTTTTGTAGAAAAGCTTTTGCATCTAATCATGATTATTTCCTTAAATTCTTAGAACTGGAATAAATAGTCCAAGATTATTTTTTTGAGACCATAAATATTTCTGAATGATTTTCAGTTTTATCTCCATATGGGTAATTCTCATTCATTTTAATTTCTTTTGAGAGATGAAAAACGGCACTTGGATGTTAACATATATGTGTTTTTTATAGAATGGCAGGAAAAAATATATGTCTTTGATTTGGCTATCACAAGGAAAATGGTTAAATAAATTATAGTATAGCCAACTGTGGAATACAATGTAGCTATAGTACATATGAGGCAGACTTGTATATACTAACATGGAAGATGTTCAAATGGATTATAGAAGCCACAGAATTACCTTATGGCATAAGTTGTGGGAGAAAAAAATTAAAGAAAAAGAAAAGCTTTAAAATTGATCATATGTAGATGCACACTTTATGTACACAGAAAAAAGACCAGAAAGAATATACACCAAATTGCTAACAGTGTTTACAGTAGAATCAAGAATAGCAGTTCAGGTGGAAGAGCAGACACTTGTGCTTCCTTATTGCTTTAATTTTTTCAATAAGTATAAAAAGAAAAATTTTAGAAGTAACAGTGATAATATATTATTTTTAGTATTATACTAAAGTCCTTAAGTCTTTTTTTTTGAGATGGAATTTCGCTCTTGTTACCGAGGCTGGAGTGCAATGGCGCAATCTCGGCTTACTGCAACCTCCACCTCCTGGATTCAAGCAATTCTCCTGCCTCAGCCTCCCAAGTAGCTGGGACTACAGGCATGTGCCACCATGCCCAGCTAATTTTTGTATTTTTAGTAGACACGGGGTTTCACCATGTTGACCAGGATGGTCTCTATCTCTTGAACTCGTGATCCACCCGCCTCGGCCTCCCAAAGTGCTGGGATTATAGGCGTGAGCCACTGGGCCCGGCCTTTTTTTTTTTCTGAGACAGAGTCTCACTCTGTTGCCCAGGCTGGAGTGCAATGAAGCAATCTCAACTCACTGCAACCTCTGCCTTCTGAGTTCAAGCAATTTTCCTGCCTCAGCCTCCTGAGTAGCTGGGATTACAGGTTCACACCACCATGCCTAGCTAATTTTTGTATTTTTAGTAGAGATGGGTTTTCTCCATGTTGGTCAGGCTGGTCTCAAACTCCTGACCTCAGGTGATCCACCCATCTGGGCCTCCCAAAGTGCTGGGATTACAGGCGTGAACCACTACGCATGGCCAAATTATTAATTTATTTAGAGAAAGAGTCATGCTCTGTAGCTCAGGTTGGAGTGCAGTGGCACAATCATAGATCACTGTAACCTTACTCCTGGGATCAAGCAATCCTCCTATCTAATCCTCCTGAGTAGCTGGGACTATGGGCATAAGCCACCATATCCAGCTTAATTTTTTAAAAATTCATCAAAACTACAGGCTGGGCACAGTGGCCCATGCCTGTAATCCGAGCACTCTGGAAGGCCAAGGCGAGCAGATCATTTGAGACCAGGAATTTGAGACCAGCCTGGCCAGCATGGCAAAACCCTATCTCTACTAAACATGCAAAAAATTAGACAGGCGTGGTGGTGCATGCCTGTAGTCCCAGCGACTCAGGATGCTGAGGAAGGAGAATCGGTTGAATCCGGGAGGCAGAGGTTGTGGCGAGCCAAGATTGTGCCACTGAACTCCAGCCTGAGTGACAGAGCAAGACTCCATTAAAAAAA